CATGGACTGCCAGAAGAACAATAGACTGTCCTAGAAGAAGTGCAGCCAGAATGCTCCTTGGAAGCAAGAATGGCCAGACTTCTCACTTACTTTAGTCATGTCGTCAGAAGGGACCATTCCTTGGAGAAAGCTATCGTGCTTGGTAAAGTAGAGGGTCAACGAAAAAGGAGAAGACCCTCAATAAAATGGATCGACACAGTGGCTGCAACGATGGGCTCAAGTATAGCAAGGATTGTGGGGATGGGACACAATCAGGCAATGTTTCATTCTGTTGTACACAGGGTTGCCATGAGTTGGAGCCAACTCAGTGGCACCTAACAGTGTTTGAGTTTAAGAAACATTAGTTAATGCAACTCTGGTTAAAACCCCATTTGACATTTGTCTAGATGTCATTGCTAATAGGTTTATGTCCTTCACTTCTCTGGTTGCCAGAGATGTTGTGAGGCACATTTGACATTTGAAAAAGAACCACAGATACAAGTCTGAAAGTTGAGTTTTCCCTGTCCTTCTGCACTTTGAGCCCTTAGGAGCTCTAGTGGCATAGTGGTTAAAGCATTTGGCTGCTAACAGAAGGTCCACGGTTTGAGCCTACTGGCTGGTCCATTGGAGAAAGATGGGGCATTCTGCTTACATAAAGACTGACAACCTTGGAAACTCTATGGGGCAGTTCTGCTTTGTCCTATAGGGTTGCTGTGAGTCCGAATCAACTTGATGGCAGTTGTTTTGGTTAGGTATGGACCTTTAATATGAGCAGTGTTTGGTGAGTGGATTCAGAGTTGATCAGGAGAAAGTTTCTGTCCCCAAAGAGCATACAGTAAGAGTTGTGAAAAATCATGCATACATACTGAAGAATAAAGGTTGCCTGTCTTTACAGGAACTGCCACTTTTACCATCCACGATAAAGCTGGTGGAGCCAAAGCGGCGATATGGAATGCTGTTCATTCTCCAGTTGTCTTCCAGAAAGGTAAGTGATAGAAAGTTCTTAGAGTGAAGACTAAATTTTTAAACTATCATAAATTACTCTTAGAAATTTAAACATACATAGGAAAGAAGTACACAGGGAAAAAGTAACCACAGGGAGGAAGTGGGAAGAGAGCTGTTATATTATGGGGATTGCAGTCAATGTCATGAAACAAAATGTGTATGGACTGTTGTATGGAAAATGAATTTGCTCTGTAAACTTTCACCCAAATTACGAAAGAAACTTTTTTTTTTTTTAAAGAAAAGAGGAAAAAGAAATTTAAACGTAGAATTCTGAATGAAAGAGAAAGGGAAATTATACCTAATGATCTTAATTCCTAACATCTCCACTTACCCATTCCTCACCCATGTTCCTCTTCACAGTTTAAAAAGTACTTCCAGATTGATTCCATTAGCTCTCTGTAAGAACCCTGGTAGGTAGGCAGGGTGACTGTTACCCCCATTTTACAGCTGAGGAAACTGAGGCTTAGAGAAGTTAAGTTGTTCAGATCTCCTTAGAACAATGAAAATAGTAGGTAACAGTTTTAGACAGGCATAGATCCGAGCATTGTGTTAACACATACATGCTTATTAATCTTCATATTAATCCAGTGAGTCTGTGTAATTAGCCCCACTGACAGGAAATAACTAAATTTTATGGGGATAATATAGAAAAAATGCTGGTTTATGTGCACTCTTGTTGTTGTTGTGTTTTGCCGTCGAGTCGGCCCCGACTCCTAGCGACCCCTCCTTGGGTTTCCGAGGCAGTATCACTACGGAAGTAGGATTGCCCAACCTTCCTTCCGAGGAGTGGCTGGTGGGTTTGAACCGCCAGCCTTCTGGTTAGCAGTCAAGTGCCTTAGCCACTAAGCTACCAGAGCTCCCATGTGCACTCTAGAAATGGGAAATAAGAAGTCGTTTAGTTCTAGTATCCTTCCATCTCCACTGCTACCTCTTGTATTTGCAGATTCATCGCCAGTTTTCTCTCTCCAGCTGTGTCTACTCTGCTATTTCTCTCATCTATACTTAATGTCAATGGCTTCATTTTCAAGAAGCTCTATTTCATTCTTTTTTAATTCTTTTCCCCATGTGTGCCTTAAAACCCAACCCCGTAGTTATTAGGATCCATTTGAGTACAACAAGAAGTATCTAGAATGGTCTTTTTCAGCAGATAAAATGCCCCAAAATACAATGTTGCCCCTTATAAGCAGCTGAAAATACACGAATTTATATAGTATTGTTTATAAAGGCTCCAAAGACCCAGTGTTGTATGCTCTTGAAGTGAGTTATGATCTAGCATGAGGTCTTGCCCATTGAAAGTACTAGGTAGGTATTTGTTTCATTACCTCTTGGTAGCCCTGCCTCTGAGAGGCAAAAAATGAGTATGACTCTAGGTTTCTAGTTTGGGGATATTGTAGACTGTGGCCCACCAATTGCTACAGAGATGGAAGTAGATTTTTCTTTTAGGGGTGCAGAGGTAATTAATTCAGTTTTATAGTTGAGTTTCAGATTCTTCAGGCTAGATTCTGTAGGTACTGTTTGGTGGTATGTTGTAAAGAACCTGAGTGGCATCGTCCGCTGTCCTACCAGAGAAAGAATGTGTCCTCTCTGAGGGAAGCCCGTGAACTTGCCAGCCTGGTTTCCACTATTGTTGTTGTTGTGTGCCATCGAGTCAGACCCGACTCATAGCGACCCCTCCTTGGGTTTCCAAGGCAGTATCACTATGGAAGTAGATTGCCCAACCTTCCTTCCGAGGAGTTGCTGGTGGGTTTGAACCGCCAGCCTTCTGCTTAGCAGTCAAGTGCCTTAGACACTATGCTTCCAGAGCTCCCGTTTCCACTATAGGGTTTCCTTTTAATATATCACTTCACTTTCACCTTAGAAAGCTTTCATTGTCCACACCTGGGCCATCTTTGCACATGTTCAGTTTCATAGAATATTTTTCATATTGTATTTTTATCTCAATACTGGATATTCCAAAAAAAAAATCAATGCACTCAGAATAAAAATAAAAATGAAAAGTCAGAGCATCGCACTCTGAGCTTGAAGGGAAAGAAGTTACAATGATGCCATCAGGTGAAACAAGGTAAGGGAGAGCTGAGGAGAGACTCTTGAGGTGTGTAGATACCCTGGAGGGGAAGGTTCATCCTGAAGTGTGGGATTGTTACCTTCATTTCAACAGACTTGGTGGGTGATGGTTTGATTCTGTATTTCATGCTGGATACCAGTAATTATGTTCACTTGACAAGGTGTGGAACTGTAGCAGAGATGGGGTAGGACTCGCTGGTGTTTGTAGCCTCTTTTCAGCTCTTGTCACATCCTGAGCACTGGAAGGCACCACTCGAGCACCCAGACCCCACTTGTTTCTGTTTACTTTGGAGCCAGCCCATCCTGGGCTCACAGTGCTAATTAGCCACCTGTGGGTTTCTCGTTTTTCATTTTTCAGTCTCACTTTCTCTGTTTTAACGGCTGTTTTCTTCCCACAGTATTTGATCACATGTGCATCTCTATTACCTACTCAGAAGTGTTTTTCAAATTGTTTCTTAGTAATATTTGCTGAAATCATTATTTTGACATGAAACTTTTCATTGACATGTCAGAGTACTCAGTGGTATCTTTAAACAGCAGAAAAAAATGTCAAACGTTTTACAACTAGAGCACAGTTCCCATGTGGATACTACAGTGACAACCACAGGTGCTGCCTAATGATGTTAACCTAATTTTCCTTTCACACCCTTGGTGGTGGTGGTGGTGTTATGTGCCGTCAAGTCAGACTCAATTCATAGTGACCCCTCCTTGGGTTTCCGAGGCAGTATCACTACGGAAGTAGATTGCCCAACCTTCCTTCTGAGGAGTGGCTGGTGGGTTTGAACCACCAGCCTTCTGGTTAGCAGTCAAGTGCCTTAGGCACTGTGCAACAGGGGGCATAAGCCCAGCAACAATTGTTAGGATGGCGCAGGATTGGGCAGTGCTTTGTTCTGTTGTACACAGGGTTGCTGTGAGTCAGAAGCAACTTGGTGGCCCCTAACCACAACAACAACAAAGAGAAAAGGTTTGGATTTTATTTTGGATCCAGTGAGACTCCATTTGAGGGAAATAAGCAGGGAGATGATACATCTTTAGAACATGTGGGAGAAAGAGAACAAAAGAGAGCAGACAAGGAGAAAGATATGTTTTAATTAGAGTTGTTGTTGTTATGTGCCATCGAGTCGTCTCCGACTCATAGCAACCCCTCCTATTTTTAAACAATGGAAATGGGAGGAAGTGGTTAGATTTGGGATATATTTTGAAGATAGACTCAGTAGAACTTGCTGATGGATTAGATCTGGACTGTGTAAAAAAGAGAGGGATGAGGGACCACTTCTGTATTTTGACCTAAACATTTCCTGGGATGGAAAAGAAGACCAGAGGAATGGATTTAATAGTAAGAAACTCCTAGTTTGGTTTAAAGTTGAGATGTCAAGAAGGCAGTTAACTCTCTGAAGCCGGAGGTTTGAGAACTGCTAGCATGCAGATAATACTTAAAGCCATGGAATCAGGTGAGGCCATCCAGGGAAGATATATATATAGCTGAGAGGTCCAAGGATCAGGCTGTGGAGCACTCTGATAAGTTCAAGGGATGGAATGTACGTAAAGCTCTTAGATCCCCGTTGCTGTTGAGTCAACTCTGACTTGAGAGAGCCTGTGGGACAGGGTGGAACTGCCCCATAGGGCTTCCAAGGTTATAATCTTTACAGATACAGACTGCCACATCTTTCTTCTGGGGAGTGGCTTGTGGGTTTGAACCACTAATCTTTGTGTTAACAGCCAAGTGTTTTTTACCACTGTGCCACCAGGGCTCCTTGTATAATGCTTAACTCACTAAATGCCAAAATGTTTGCTGTTATTTTTTTTGGGTGGCTTATTTTTTGGAAATGTCTTTAGCTTCAAGCTCATGAAATGCCAGGTGGGCCCATACTTCACCATTCTGTTCCCTCTTCCTCCCTTCTTCAGTGAGCTGGATGACTCTTTGTCAGGGATCTGGGTTTGCTTCCCATCCTACCCCATGTCTTGGGTGTTTCTTCAGGAAATCACCTTGGGCAGGGCTAGAACATGCTGTAACACTGACTTTGTTACATGAAGTGTACTAGGTGGGGCAAGATCCTCTAGGGCCTTGTGCATAGAAGCACTGTGGGTTGATGGGTTTCCTAGGATGCCTCTCGGCACTAGCAAAGAAAAATATTTCTTTTCAGCCGGTACCAATACACAGTAAAGAAAGAAGGGCCATAGTGTGATGTCACCACATTTAACCTGATGTCTGTGCCCAAAGGCAGATTATAGGGGTGAAGCATGGGTAAAGATGCTTAAAGTATCGTCCCTAAGAACTTCCACAAGACCTTCCGTAAGAGGCAAGGAAGACCTGGCTCCTTGAGTTCACTGCCATTGAAGTCGGAATTCTCCACAGCTTCCTTGTATCTGTGGCCTCTCTTCCCTAGACTTTGTCATAGAGGTAGCCAAATTCTGTTTCTTTCTCACACAATGACAGGAATTATTAGAACCCTGAAGTAAACCATATGAACCTTGTGATTCAGATAGTTAGATAAAACATGACTGCTATACCTTTGTCAGTAAAAGTCATAATAAACGAATGAATCAATCCCAATATATGCTTTTTTCTTTTCCCTTTAAAGGCTTTAATGCTCCATATTATAGGCCACAGCATACAAAAAAATATGGAAGTGCCAGGCTTATACCTCAAACCAAGCAAGGGTATATAGAATATGAAAGAGAGGAGACTGTGGTGAGTCCCTGGACACTACCTTCAGATATCCACAAGATTCTTAATGAGAGTCATGATTCTTTTCTACAAGTAAGTATTGTTCCAGACTTAAGTTTGCTGAGTGGTTCCTCTTTGTTCTCCAGCACTTTTGTTTTTATGGGATGTAAACATACTGAGATAGTGTTAACGCTGGTTTGAAGTAGTGACTCAAGGCATCTACACTCCTGGCTTAGTACTCTAGGATTTATTTTTAAAAATTCTCCTGAACTTTGTGTTTTCTTTTTAATTAAAAAATGAAAAACGTAAGAATAGATCATTGTAGTACAGGTATAAAAGTCCATGCTGTCCATTCTTCAGATTGGTGCTAATCATCTAGTTGAGCCCAGTGACTCAGCTCATTGCTGGTCCAGATGTGCTAGGGAACCACGGCCCTGGTTTCTTTTACTTTACCTTCAGTCCCTTGATGGATGAGGAACTCTAAAAACATTGGAAAGATTAGTTCTTGTTCCATTTTTTCTTCAGGGGCTAGGAGCATAATAAGGAGTTCTGGTGGTGCAGTGGTTAAGGCGTTGAGCTGCTAACCAAAGGCTTGGCAGTTTGGACCCACCAGCCACTCATAGGAGAAAGATGAGACAGTCTGCTTCTGTGTATAGCCTTGGAAACCCTGTGGGGCATTTCTACTCTGTCCTATAGAGTTACTCACAATGACAATGGGTTTGGGTTTTGGACTTTGTAGGACCATAACTTATTGTCTCTATCAATTTGATAGGGCTTGTCACCATCTGAGGAAGAAGAGCCAGAGCCTTCTGTTGGAGTGAGTGGCATGGACAGCATGTCGGAGAGCACTGGCAGTATCCTTAGCAAGCTCGACTGGAATGCCGTTGAGGACATGGTGGCTGGAGTGGAGGACAAAAGCCTGTCTGTCCACCGGGCCCTGGGCCTGTAAGAGCTGGATATCCTTCTTTATTCAAGCAAAGGCTAGTGACTCAATGCTGTGGTCTGAAAGGTTTGTAGGGTTAAGAGAAAGGGACAAGGAAGAAAGCAATGTGATTTTGCCATCTGTACCTAGATGAGCTGTTTCAAGAGAGAAAAGAAACATTTTCAGTAATCTTGCCTTGCTAGGAAAAGAGTTGTTTAAATATAAAGTATAATATATATATATATATAATATAAGTATAAGTTTATTATATGCTTCTGCATTTGACTCATCGTGAGGCATAATAAAAGATAAACCTCCTTTCAAATCTAGTTTGCATGATATTTGAACTCCTTTCAATAAAAATCTTTTTCTTGCCTCTTTCTTTACTACCCTTAAATTCTAAAGAGTAAGTTGGTATGGGTGAATCTCTTCTTTCATTAAGAAGAAGAAAATCAAAATCTTATTTGTGAAACTTAATTATGAAAACTTATTTTACAACATACCCTACAGTCTAGCTTTGTGGGGACCACTGTGCTCAATTGTTAGCTGCCTTGGTGGGGACCACTGTGCTGTGTTGTTGGTTGCTGTTGAGTCAATTCGGACTCCTGGCCACCCCGTGTGTTCTGCTTAGATGAGCTAATGGTGCCGCAGGATACTGACCTCAGAGAACATTCAGTGAACTCGCTTCGTGAGCTTCTCTCTCTTCTCTCTTGAGGATCGCTGTTTTGCACTGCCTGTCATCCGGTGCCTGAAAGCAGTTGCCTCACATAGGGTTTATTGCATTTATAGTTAAGGCAGGAGGCTAGACAGATACTGGGACTTTATCATAGCTGGAAGCATAATTCTTCTCTTAGTTTTGGTCAATTTAAAATCCACACAACAAACCAGAAAATGAAGTGAAATATAGAGGACAAATAGTAACAGAAGAGGACTAACAGCCTGAGGAAGTCTTCAGCCTGTAGTTTGAATCTTATCTCATAGTCTTCAGAAAATGGAGATAATGACAACTTTTTTCAATGTGTCAGAAAATAGAGGAAACATCCCAATGAATGTGTTTCAGATCCTGCTGCTTCTAAGAAGGGGTTTAGACTTATAATGCTCTCCATTCATGAAACCAAAGAAGCCATTTCCCTGTTTAGTTCTTAAGCACTTACCAAGAATGTTCCCCAAAGTCTCAAAACTGAATCTTGGTTTCCTTGTAGTTTTATTAGAGAATGTTACACAGCATTTAGTAATGTGCCACTAAACCCACCCACATCTGAATACCCTGCTTTTTGTTCTGGCTGAGTTTGGAATCTGTCAGCAAAGGAAGTTCATAGTTTCTGCCAAGATGGACAAGGAATGAAAAAAACCAACTACTGACTTCAGCCTTCCTCTCTCACTTCAGCACTTACTGTTTCTAGCATATAGTATATATTCACAAGTGGCTGGCACACTGATGACAAGCCATTATAGTTTATACCATTTTCCATGTCTCAGAAATTCAATTAATAATACTGGTACCAGGCTTTAAAGCACTTGACAGAAGCCATGTTGGTGGCCTTCCAGAATTATTCTTCCTTTTGAGCATTGCTTACACACTGACCATTCATAGCTGTTCATCATCTGGACTGTGACCTGTGCCATTAAGGAGATCCTGATTGAAGGTCCTGTTTTCATTTTAATGTTAAAATATTGCAGCAAGACAAGGGGCAAGGTTGTGGTCACTGCTTGGTCACAGCCAGCTACCCACAGGGACCGAGTAGTTGAACCTGTGGGCTCGGGACCATAGTCACAGAGGACATCAAGCTCAATTGGCATAACATACTACACAAAACGTTCCACCTCCTACTGCGGCAAGTAGCGACTGAGATCTTAAAAACTTGCAAGCTACCATCTAGATGCAACGATGGGTCTCTCCTTGTCCAGAGCAGGGAAGAATGAAGAAAACCAAAAATTCATGGAAACAACTAGTCCTAGCAACTGGTACACCATCCCATCTGCAGCCTATACAACTATGAGACCAGAAGAAATAGATGTTGCTCAGCTACTACTGTCAACCACTTGGAAGAGGATCCTGTAGGAGATCCTGGATAGACAGGGAGAACAATGTGGAACAAAACTCAAAATCATTTGGAAAAAAAAAAATGGGGAACAGGTTTGCTGGCCTGAGGGAGTCTGGTGGAACCACTGAGACTATGGCCCCTAGTTGCCCTTCAGATCTGGAATTGAACGCACACCTGTGGCTACCAGCCAAACAGTAGGCATATCAGTTGAGCATTTACCTGAGGTAGATACACTCCTTGGAGAGAATAAGCATGGGAGAAAGAAGGGCTGCTTATGCACAGGGAGACAGCACAGGTGGTAGGAGTGCATGGAGAGATGGACACAGGGAAGAGGTAACTATCGGGAGGAAGTGGGAGGGGAAATGTTGCATTGTGCTAAATTGTGGTCAATGTCATGAGACAAGGTGTATGTGAACTGCTGTATGGAAAGTGTATTTGCGCTGCTAGTTTTCACCCGAATCACACACACAAAAAAAATTGCGGCAAACAATGTTAAAGGTTGTACCTGAGATCCTAGATGAACAGTCCAGGGCTCCCATAGTGACTCTGGGCCTATCTGAATCATGGCACCAGAGCTGTCGAGGAAGAAACTGCACTGGGCAATGTTAAAACATGGCAAGGATGAACTAAGAGCACTTACTTTAACAGTGGGAGGGGGAGAAGAACTAGAACTGTATGTGTTCACCAACTCTACAGAGCCATAGGACTGCGAACTTCTAAAAAGAAGGTTAAGCCTGGGGGAATTTGGTGATTGATGTACTGAGGATGCATTTAGGGCCAGTTTGCTCGGAAAGTTTTCCTTTTTTATGATACGGGCATCTGGTCCTGGAAACGCAGGAGGATGTAGAAGAGGAGATAGAAGAAGAAACTAAAGTTATTCTAGCAGCATAAATACTTTATTTTGGTCAGTTTCTTGCAGTAAGCCCTGACATTTTCCAGAACATAAAAAGGTGGGAGGATTTCTTTTACAAAGGGTTCAGGTAAAATTAAACTTTTGTCAGTCCTCACTTTTGTTCATGACAAATGAATTCATTCATGAACAACCTGGAGAGATTATAGATCTCTTCTTAATTGAGGAGAAGCAAGGTTTAAGAAGTAGTCCCTTGACATCAAGCTCAATTGGCATAACATCCTACCCAAAACATTGTTCCATATCCTACTTTGGCAAGTAGCGAATGGGATCTTAAAAGCTTCCAAGCAGCCATCTAGATGCAACAATGGGTCTCTCCTTGTCCAGAGCAGGGAAGAATGAAGAAAACCAAAGATTCATGGAAACAGTTAGTCCAAGCACCATGTGATCCTCACCCTATATAACTATGAGATCAGAAGAACTAGATGGTGCCCCAGCTACCACTGTCAACCACTCACAGGGGGATCTATGTAGGAGATCCTGGATAGAGTGGAAGAAAAATGTTGAACAAAACTCAAAATAATTTGATAAAATAAAGAAGAACCAGGTTTGCTGGTCTGATAGAGCCTGATGGAACCACTAAAGACTACGGCCCCTAGCTGCCCTTCAGGTCTGGAGTTGAACCCACTCCTGTGCCTTTCAGCCAGAGAAAAGATAGGCATATGAGGTGAACATTTACATTAGGTAGATAAACTCCTTGGAGAGAACAATTGTGGGAGAATAGAAGGGCTGTGTATGCACAGGGAGACAGCTCAGAGGCAGGAGTACATGGGAGCAAAGGACATAGGGAAGACATAACTATGGGGAGGAAGTAGGAGGGGAGCTGTTGCATTGTGGGAAATTATAGTCAATGTCATGAGACAAAGTGTATGTATGTGAACTGCTGTATGGAAAGTGAATTTGCTCTGTAAACTTTCACCCAAATCACAATTTAAAAAAAAAAATTCCCTTGAGTAATCTCAGTGGTGGTGTGTCTGCATGACTTTGTCATGTTGAGCCATCTGTTGAAGGGGAGGCCTAGGCCTAGGTCAGCTCTTTTAGTGTCAAGTATCTTACGAGAAGAATGACTAAAAGGAATAAAAGAATTACTGATACGAAAGTGTGCATTAAAGTCTAAGAGGCTGGTGAATGAAAATCTTGATTATGCACCACTACTTGCTAAGTTCTTGCATAGCAAATGTAAGATGCTCTTGGCACTGTTGCCCAGTCCTATGTACATCTCATAAGGGCATTTACCAGACTGATTTAGTGACTCAGAAACAGCAAATTGTCAAAGAATAATCCAACCCGAGTGTGGTGTGCTGTGGTGAGGAGACCACTGAAGTATATTTCATGTCACTGGGCCTTCAAGAGCTCCTGCAAGATAAGGTCGAGTCTCAGCAAATATCTGTGTGGTCAAGTTGCAATTCTCTGTGATTCCACGTCGGGAGGGAGGGAGAACAATTGGAAATGTTGGCTTGGATAGTTGCTGCCAGATACTGAAGTAAATAGGATGTATTGAAGATGTGCTGAGGATTGACAATTTGTGCAAGATGCCAAGATCTACTCCCGTTTATAAGTACATAAGATCATAAGTTGCCTGTAGCTTATCAAAATCAAATAGTTCAAAGACAATGAACAGGACCAGAATCTAATGGCCTGCAATGGCATGTTACAGTTTTTTATTGAAACATCAAATTTCTCCCTACAGTTACCTGTCCCCCCCTTTTGACGGAAGATAATCTTAAAGCATAATTATTGTTTATCACAAAACAAGGCTTGTCATCATTATTTACATTGGTGCAGTGACAATAGTAATTTACCATGTTATGGTTGTGAGGTGCCATCGAGTCAGCTCTCACTGACCTCAGCCCTGTGTACAACAGAATGAAACACTGCCCAGTCCTGTGCCAACCTCAATTTATCATATAGACCTTTTTTAATTTGCTTTGCTGCAAGTTTTTGTAAGGAATCTCAGGTTGACCAAATTTTAAAAGCCTCTTGAGGCTAGGAAGCCAAGCCAATAAATAAATTGCCATCAGACATGACCTGCAATAACTATAAATTTAGGTGAATCCCTCTCTTCTCAAGGTCTCCAAAATAGCATAAGGCTCCTGGGCCTGCCAGGAAGTGACCTTCCTTAGTCACCTGTAAGTCTGGAAACTCTGTAAGCCAGGTACCAGGCCGGTTTTCCTCACAAGGCTTTGTGAGCATTGGCTCCATAAATTCAACTTTGGTTACTTAAAAGTGTTTAGTCATATATCTGATTCTATGTGCATTATTCTCAAATATGACATTGCAATAAAAGCTTTGTTATATAACCATTGTGTCCAGTTATGTCTTGTTAACAAGGAAGACAGATTCTTATTGAGTTTGTGCAAATAATTCCCATAAAAAGAAGAATTTTCAGTGACAGCTTTCAAATTCTGGAGGATCAGGCTGGGAGAAAAATATAAATGTTTCATTTCTATCTATAGAAGCAAAATTTACTAAATTCTTATATGAGTTATAAACAGCTTGAGAAAAGGAGTTCCTTATATCCAGAAAATTGAACATTAAAGCATCAGCAATATTCTGAACAAAACCCCTAAGTTCCTTCAGTCCTATGTAACTGTTGATCTGCTTGGCCTTAGGCAGCACTCATGAACCATACGTTCCTCCATTAGGGTTCTGGAAATCCTGGTGAAGTCTAGTGCTGTGGTCTCAAAGGTATTTAAGCAATGACATCAGAAGCCCAAGCCCAGAGCACCTGGCATAGTCCTTTCCATGGATGATCTCTCAAGAGTGTTTAGTTTTGTTCAAGATGAAGTAAGTGCTCTGGCCTGTACCTGAGCTAAGTCTTTTTTTTTCCATGGAAGCATCAGAGTAAACCAAAAACTATCTGTAGATGGTGAGAGACTTAAAATGACTGTGGTTCACTTATTAATAATTTTTTAAGTGAAAGATTATGAGAATTCAAAACTAATGCAATTGAAAGGCAATTTGGTTGTTTCTGAGGTATGCAACATTTTAAATGAAATTATGACTGCTGACACTACACTATTTTGTCAGGCACAGCAGCACCAGGACCCGTCAAGACAGTGACAGGACTGCCGAATCTGTACGAACTTTATATAATTTCTGAAATATTAATGACATTTTACCCATGGAGATTTAACCAAGAAACTTAAACATCTCTTCTGATTTGGTAACATTTTCCATCCAACTCATAATGGATCAAATAACCTAGTTATTTCTAGTAACTTTTTTTTACAAGGATCTTCAGAACTCTTATTAATGGCTTTCCTATCTCCTGTTGTCCGGGAATGCTGCCTTGTGCCAGAGGCTCCTGGATGGCGACCAGCTCCAGGCGCGAGGCCACCCAGAACCTCATAGGTGGCCAAGCCCCACGCCCAGAACGTGAGGAGGGCAGCAGCCTGGCCTTGTTCAGCACATTCCCCCTACTCCCTGGAGAGCAGGGCCAGCCTCCAGACTGCCAGGAAAATGAGGAAACTTATTTACTGTATTTCAAGTTTACTGATCATCGACTACATGCCAGGGAGTTTCTAATAAAAGTGGGGATATTTTAATGAGTGAGAAAGGCCTTACTCCAGTGTAAAATCATTTAATGTAGAAGTAAAATGTGCCATTTAAGGTTTAGTGCCATTGTTGCAGAACTTAACGGGCAGGAGGAAGACAGATGTGCGAAAATGTCTGCTGCTGTCCTAATACCTTTTGCTTAAAAATAACTTAAAGATGTTCCTGGTGAAGATTTTGAATTTTTGATCTTCAGAGTAGTTGCTTGGATCATTCACAATTTCAGGAGTCTGAGGAGTACTGGAATATTCATCTTTAGGGGTCCGTAATTAGGTTTTTAAGCAATGAGTATATGAATAAACTGTTTGATGTGCTTCTTGAAAATAAATCATGAATAAACCTATCAAATTTTAGCCAACTTTGACCACAATGAATAAAATTCCTTTTCTACAAACTTTTCCCACTTTCCACACGTGCTCAAGATGTGTCCTACACTTTCCTCTTTCTCATTCCAGAACAACCAGTCCTTTTATTTTAGGACAAAATTACTCTTTTCCCTTAACAAAAACACATCCAGCATATCTGCTGCAGTGTAGTAAATTATCTGCTATGGCTTTTCTAGCCATAAGTCTTTGTAAACTCCATGGTGGAATTTGCCATAAGCAACTGAGGAGCTCCTGATTGTAAATGTTATCCACCTGGGATATTTCTGTTGGGAGTGGCACAAAGCAATGTTCTGGGAGGTTTGCTGTCTCTCAGGTGCTTAGAATTCTGATGTTATGAGTGACTAGTTTGGCCACTCTGCCAGGTTCAAAAGGAGGCCTCCTAGAGGCAGAAGTCTCTCCAACTGCTGACTGAGAAGGATGTGCTGCTGAAAGAGACACACACTCCTGAGAGACATGCACTGCTGGGAAAGAGACACATTGCTGAATGAGACACTGAGGGACACGCACTGCTGGGAGAGAGACTATGAGATTGTTGGCTGAGTGATGGCAGGCTGAGAGAGACTGAGTGTTTTTCCTGAACTTGAATTGTACCCTGGTGCCTCACTAATAAACCCCATAATCTGTGAGTGGTGTGTGGCCACTGCAGTGAATTATCAAACCCAGCAGAAAGGTGGTGGCTGCTGCAGGAGGAAAGGTTGGTGTCAGGGTTGGTGAAGGGGCTGGAGGGAGGTAGCATATCTGGCCTCAAAGTAATGGGCCTTGGGCTACTGATAGTGATTTTGTTTTCCTCTTATGCGGTTAGAGGAGGTCAGGAGATGTGGCTTCCTTGCCCTTTTAGCACCTGCTTAATATAGCCAGGTCCAAGATTTTAAGTTCCCCAAAAGGTCTTTGAAACTGTCTTCAAGCAGATATACTATGTAATTACTAATGAAATAAATATTTGTCAGAATAAATTAGCATCATTAATTTCTGGGAATATTAGGGATATTCAACATATACAAGTACTGAGTTATCTCTAAACCAACCAGAATATCATGATTGTATAATCTAAATTGGCAATACCATCTGTTGTTGTTGTTGTTGTTATGTGCCGTTGAGTCAGCCCTGACTCATAGCGACCCCTCCTTGGGTTTCCAAGGCAGTATCACTACAGAAGTAGGATTGCTCAACTTTCCTTCCAAGGAGTGGCTGGTGGGTTTGAACCGCCAGCCTTCTGGTTAGCAGTCAAGTGCCTTAGCCACTATGCTACCAGAGCTCCTGCAATACCATCTAGAGGTACAAAAATCCCACCTCTACATAACACACCTGTATTGTACCAACATACCTGTATAGAGACAGACAAGAACAGACAATGCAGAGCACACAGCTTCACATCTGAAATCTCAGCTGTGAACCAAGCATAAAAATAAATACCAAATTCACTGGTGTGGATAAGAGAATTGACTGTTGTCCTTCCTTGTGCTTACGTTTTTTACCATGATTGTGTGTTTCTGTCAGATGGGACAAGGTAAGGTTCCTGTTCGGTTTGAGGGCTGATGTGCCCTCACCCACAACTGTGGAGATTTTTAAGATTTCCCCTGCCACACAGAGGCTGTAGACTAATTTAGGCAAGCAACTGAGGAGACCCAGTG